AGCCATGGTCTCACACATCTACCACAGACTCCACATGAAGAGAGACAAGAGGAACATCCGCGGCATTCACCACTCCACATGAAGGTTGACAAGTGGAGACAACGGGAGACTAGCTCCGAAAACCCTTGCATTCACCGTCTGCGCTGCGAGAAACGTCAACAATTGATTTGCCCTAGCAAGAATCTGTATGCACAAACCCCACAGTAACCTGTTTGGCAGTCAGTTCGGTTGTCCAAGGTCGTAAGAGTAGCCAGGGATTCGAATACAATCGGGTACGGATGGTCCGTGTTCCACCCACTGCGAGCTCGACTACACGCTATGAACGCCTTTCAGACAGATCAACACGCCTCGGAGCACCGCAGCCCTTTAGCACTTTGCGTGCGCGTTGATACCCGGCCAGCTCCCGAAGCACGGCTTCCCTCACGCAGATCCCTTGTCACAAGGTTCTAGATCCCAGCCCCTATACAGGAATAACAGGAGCCGAAACTCTCCCTTAAGGACCCCACAGGCAGACCAGATCCAGTGCATTGGTCCCGCCCTGGCAGCGCTTGCCACAAACCCGGAAATGAGGCGCCTGACTTCGCAGTCTGTAGCTTGTCAGGCTGACCACATGCACGACCGCTACAAGATATGCAGGTGCTGTTGATGGAGACGCCGCCTCCCAAACAATCTCAAACATAAGGCCTCGAACCTATTCGCCGTAGGTGCCTGGGAAACCATAATCACCCGTGAGCGGCCTCCGATGCCATTGCCTCTGAAAGCGAGGAGGAAGGGCCGTTCACCCTCCCAAAGCTTACCTAAAAAGACGAAAGCTGATCGAGCCGAGATGCGATTAGACCGAAGTGTCAGCAACAAGAGAACCGCTCAAACTTGACCACGATCAGAGACAGCTGACGAAGGATCCTTGACATCGATCACTGTGAACCCTACAGCTTCTTGCTCGTATTCTGCCGCATTTACACAACCTTCAAGTCTAGCAACGCGGTTCTATCGTTTGTTGGAAGGATGCTGGACACCCTTGTTTGACCCTTACGGTCACCCAGAAAGGCTTTAAGTCTGTGCCAAACACACACACACAACTTCAAAGATCCTCAAGAAGCGTGGTGATCCCCTAATTGCTCGTTTGAGACAGCAGCGCGAAAAGATGGGGGGTCGCCGCAGCTGTGCTGATCACAGCCCAGAGCCTCTGACCGTTGCCATCAGGATGAATTCGGAAAGGGCCGAGTGGATGCAGAGCACTCCAAGTCCAACCACTACGTCACTGCGTCTAGCAGCATGACCTGGCGGCCCCGTGCCAGGTGATGAGATAGCGAGATGTGTATCGCATGCAGTTTGCATGACGTGTTCGCTGCTTCTCGTGCGCCCGAGGTCGTCCCTCCACCTGGAGAAGGGGTCTTACTTCTGGCACAGGGTATATATCCCTAAACCCTCAACCCTAAAACCCTATGCTGGAGATTCTCGACTACCTCCGCCCGCGAGAACCCGCAGACGGGGCTGCTCAAGACGCGCGAGTACATGGCAGGCTTGCCGTATCGCGATGTCACGTACTGTGCCTTCGGGTATAGCTACAGAAAGCCCACACGCCTTTGGACGTCTCTGCCCTGGACGCCCTCCCGCGGCGTCTGCAGAAAAGGTGACCGATGCGCTGCCTTCGACGGCCGGGGCCATCCAGCGAGCGCGCAGCATATATATGTATAGAGGACTCAGGGGAGCACAGAGTCCATTTCTTTTTCACTGAGGACTCAGGGGAGCACCGCCGCAAGCTTTCAGAAATGGGTGAAACCAAGCTGTTGCCTTAACTTAGCATCTCGAGCGAGAGGCGAGGAGAGCTTTAGGGAAGGTTGGTCGCGCAGGAGTGGTTCAAGTTCTGCAGTCTACTTGCAAGAAGAGTGTAGCTTAACATTCGGCATTTGGCCGCGTTGAATCTGCTTCCTGGCGCTCACCACTTCCCAGCCCGGGCCCAGCTGGGAAGAGTGCTGGGAGCACGCGTGAGAGCGCGTTGATTTCGGCTTGAGGCAAATCCATGTTGAATCAGGAGTTTCAGCCAGGGCGACCAATCCCTGCAAAATCAAAGCGGTGTTTCCGCGAGCTGACGTCAGGCTGACCATGTCATTGCATTACTTGATTTTCACTGTCATCTTCCTGATCTTGTACTCTGCTGAAGAAACAGTTCTGTTTCAAGTGACAGCTGTACTCTCTCATGGTCTGTCTTCGAAATTCCAGAACTGCCCATTTGAGTTTCACTCTTTCCCGCATTGGTTTGGGTAGCTGGGCACCTGTAGGTAGGCATGGACGTCAAACACCTGGCCAAAGCTCATTCAGCAGGTGGACCCCACAGGATTTTGCGACACTCCGCAGCTGCATTTCAAAATAAAATATTGAAATTTCGTGGAATTTCCATCAACGGTACCCCCTGGTCTCATTGGTTGATGATCGTATTCCCTTCAATACCCCCATCCCCGTCAATGGAAACATTGAAGCACGCATATAATCAGTATTTTAACGGGGTCTGCTTTGCCAAAACAGAGCTCACACATATTCGTCGTGTGCAGGTGGATCAGTGGAAACGCCCTATCCGAACTTTATCTCAACGGCTTATCCGCTATAGTCCAATGATAGCATGCATTAAGCCCTGTGGTATCAAAAAAATCTTCACTGGAGATCTTCGACGAATGCCTCAGAGAGAACTGAAAGTCGAAATGAAAGTCTGGACAACTTCATGCCAGCAAGACACCATAGAAATATGTCGGAACGACTCCTTCTCAACTTGGTTGAGAAATCGTAGGGCTGCGATGCCATCACACGTCTACATTCATCGACAATAATAGATCTGTCACTGGCAAACCATAGGTGGAAAACCCAAGGCTGTGACCATTGGCCATCGCAACCAAACTCTGCTCCAAATAGTCGGTCCTTGCCATAACAGAGCTGAGAGCTAGCACTTCCAAGCTAACTTGACAAGGCAATGGTACTCCGCAGTACTCCATGGTACTCCGTGGTACTTCATATTCACGACCCAGCGTGGAGACCGAAACGGACCAAAATGTGTGGGCACGTGGGCCCATCTGACGTTGGTGCTGTCCTCTCCACTGCAGTGCTAATCATCTCCTGAAGGCTGGAAAAGCTGGTCTGATTAGTGTCCAACGCAGCTGCTTTGGTTCAACCGGTTCACATATTTTTGTCTGAAACGTCACATACCTACCTGAAGCAAGCGTTTGCGCAGTGCTGGGACTTTGCTGTGACAGACTGCCCACATTCTGTTCCGCTATCTCTTGGAACTTCAACTGTGTTGGTGGCTGAAAAGCGCGGATGCTGGAACAAATGTAGATAGACCAATGGCAAGTCTCGAATCGTGGAACTTCCCCGATGCTACTTCGAAACTCACCACTCAGCGCAGTCCTCCAACCGGGCCTCAACAAAACACAAAAAATGTAAAGCGGATCCCGCAAAGTCTAAGATCTTCTCAAATCTATCGCCCGGCCTGACTTACTCCTGGATCTTCTTCGACATCTTTGGGTGAAGTAGCCTAACATTGCTCACAGGAAAAGATTGTCTAAAGCTTTTCAAAACCTTGCCATCCTGACACAATTCATCGACGCGTATTTTCAAGTGATACTGGCAGGGCTGCAAAGTTCAGTTTGGGCGAATGGCAACTGGGTGAGTATTATCAGTGTTCAGCTAAATTCACCCAGCACCGGCACGCTTTTTTGGGAAGCTGTCCAGACTGTCTACCGTAGCATGGCACTTGGCTGTACGCATTGGAGTGGCCGCAGCGGTGCACACAAAAACTATCAACAGAGCACTGACCTGTCACTCTTGATCATCCTGCCAGTCTCCAGTAGGTCAGACTCTGCGAAGAATGGCACCATTCCTGCCTCCGTATATCTTCGATTACTGGTTTGAAGTCTGTGTTTCATTCTTGGCCGCTCTTGAATCGCAAAGTGAGTGAGAGTATTGCTAAAACCTGTTGAATCGTAAGAAAAAGAAAATCCAAAGCAATGGTACTCACCATGCATGGTACTTAAAGGATCAACATGGCAGTCACCCAGCTCACGCTCCTCTGTATGGCTGGAGAGTTCGAAAATGAATTGTCGCTCCACAGCCTGCGGAGAAAGAAGTGAATAGACTGAGTCAGGAATTTAAACCTCCGCACTCTGCCTGTCACTGATTGGAGTTGAAGGATGTTGAAGGAAGATCCTATGGAATGACAGCAGGACCCTGGGACTTCTGTGATCCGCAGACTCTCGGCCAGGTCTGCTTTGACCTCTTTGAGTCCCTCCTGAAATCGGTGTCAGAAATTCGCCGTGATGACATCATGGCTCACTTTGACAACGGTAAGACAGCTACATTGGGAAACGTTGGGGCGAAGAACCAATAAGCAAGCATCTCAATAGACACAGACCCTTTGAATCTTGGATACCATGACCTCTGTTCGGCTGCAAAGCTGCGCAGCATAATTTCGAGCAGGGGTCTCTGGGGCTGCAGAAGGCCTCAGCTGTCAGCTCAGGCGGGACATTTTGGGGACGATGGAACCTGCAGGATGTCATGTTGCTACAAAAGGCAAAGCAGCGCCACATGTGACCATGGTAAGGGCCTAAGGCATCCTAAGGCGTTGGAGAAACGTCAGGGATGTGATTTGCCCTTGATTCGATCCGAGAGTCTCACCACATGAATCCTGATGTATCTGCATCTGAGGTCCCGAGTCCCAAGCAAGCGATCCAGTTGCGATCAGAGTTCCTGTAGGAATGACACGAAATGTGAAAGCCCACGGCACGGGAAAGAATACCATGAACTTGCACACAAAGATCAGTGTCATTCTGGCCGAACACTCCGCTCGGTTCACTGGGCCCACTGGGTCCTCCATCAGGATGAACCAACTTGTGGCTTCAGTGAAACGTCGTCGCATAGACGTGCATTGACATGCATTCAGATGGCAGTTCTCGCAGACTTTGTGCGACACTGCGACACTTCCAGTTCAATCTCAGATATACCTGGCTTCACTATGTTTCGCTCTTGGTGGTTCCAAAGGCCAAGACGTGCTGCCTACCCAGCAGGGACTCCAACATTGTAGTTCCATCACGACAGTCGAAGATGCAAGTCAAGGTGGTGTTCCTCGGCAGCAAATCACTGATCATTTCTGAGAGCTCAAAGTCCGAAATCAGCGAGTCTTGAGGACTTTCATCACTGGGCAAGAGCTTCTTCCCATCGCCGCGGCCGGAGAAATGGAAGAGAAGTTGTGCTGGCTCATCAGATCCACCCAGCAACCATCGCAGACTCTCCAAGATCTCTTCCCGCCGCACGTAGCACGGCTCAATTCCATCTGGTTTGTCAACAAGCTTTCGGATCTCAAACCTTTTGAAGATGTTCTCCGATTCCAGCCTTAGGATGCAGGGATTTTGAGCTCCACAAAGTGAATCCCGATGCCTTGCTGATCCTCAGACTCAAATCTTCCGTAACAGCTCCACAAGGATTCAAAACCACGCAGAACCTGTCTCTGGCACTCGACCATATTTTGGGACATGTTGGGAAAAGTTCTTTCCAAGTCACCAACTCTGCATGTCCTCCACGTCGTTCCAGGATCCCTGAAGTTGGAGCGAATCCCTGTAGCACAAACCCACCAACAACGCACGGCGAACCTCGAACGTCTGACTCCAGACTGAGCCCAAAGTACGATCCTCGATCCTGTTGGAACCACGAATGCAGACCTCAGCTGACATTGTCCATTTCGATCCACGGCTTTCTTTTTTCTCTATCGTCTCCGTCAGTCCCATGCTCTCTCTCTCTCTCTCTCTCTCTCTCCTCTCTTTCTCTGTCTCCCAATTTTGAGGTCAGGAAACCCCCGCATCTTCCCGTTGCCGATTCAACAGACTTCCGATCTGACGAAGTAAGCCACCAATTTCCAGCGATCGCCATCCTCTGTCTGCCGCATTAGCTTTCAGAACTGTCAGCAGCGACTGGGTGCAGAGTCCACCCCTCGAGAAGTCATAGGGAGGCAGCTTACCAAAGTAGCGGGCCAGCCAGGTGCTGAGCCATGACGGTTCCTGAGCGGTTTGGTTGAAAGATGTTGAAACATGTTGAAACACAGTGGCCTCAAAGCAAAAGAAACAAGGGCATTAGAAGGAAAAAGGAAAAGATATGAATCAAACAGGCTTTCTCAGTATCCTCCCGCGGCTGAGTGTGTTGGTTGCTCTCGATGTTGTCGGGCTCCTCATCTTTTCCCATTCTCTCCACTGAGATGGACAGCACCAAGCGGCTTTCGTCATTGTGAAGATCATAACCAAGGGCCCCACATTTCCGAAGCAAAAAGCAGAACATGAGACCAGCACAGGGCCACAGCTTTGGTGGCTTAGATAGCAACTTCACTTGAGGCCTGCAGGTTGAATCCAGGAGTTGATCGGTATCACACTTTCATCAAGACTCTAATCAACTCGACGAAAGCAGTAGGGTATACACCTGCTACGCGCTGCACACCCTAGAAACATGCGAGTACATGGAAATCTGGAGGTCCGCCTCACATGCTGGCCAATCTGGCCGGCAGAGCGAGGAGCTCTGCATCCCGATACGCAGGAGGTCTAGTCCTCGACGAAACCCAGGGGTGTTCAATCGTTTTTGGATCTAGGGTGGCCTGGCGGGCTCCTAACAATCCATCTCGAAGCTATGTCAGCCCATCATTCTCCAAATAGGAAAGGTTCAAGTCAAGCCAAAAAAAGGATTGCGTCCCTGGCAGCCCCAGGAGAACCAGAGGAACAAGTGGCGCCCCGCAAACACAAACACAGCTACACACCAGGTTTGAAAATACCCACTCGCTTCGGC